TTAGATGTATTAATAATGAATATAACAATATTAGAATTGGTAAATTACGGATATGAGGTCTGCTCTCAGGATCATCATCTGATAATAACGAACCTTCAGAGATAAGGGGAAGATAAAACTGGTAAAGGAAGTTGGTGAAATTGTCATTCTGGCAATAGTGTAATTAGCTATCAGACAATCAGTGTAATGTATCTGTATGGAGCTGATGCAATAATGATAATAAGATAACGATCAATTATAGTCCAAACTACTTGACAATCTGTTCCTTTATGTTAATTACACATTAGTAACTTGGGGATTTCATAACAGCAGGTTGTTAAATCACAGTCATCTGATGTATTCAGAATATTAGTCGGGATAAAAGTTCACAAATCTGTGATCCTAGAAAACAGTACTGTGTATGTAAAAGTTGCTCCCAAGCCAAAAAACTGTGGACACTCCTGTTCTAGGTTGTTTTGTATTAACACTAAGTTCATTATGGCTTTTGCATTTTCACAGGCTAACACATTGATTTAAAACTATTTTTTTAAAGGGTTGAATTTGAGTGACAAACAATTTGTTCTGTTCCTGCTTGGCCACATCTTGATGTGTCAGCGTTGGCACAAAGTCGATGAATCGCCTATGATGAGGAGTGAGAGGCCGTGATGGCTATCACCACTGACAACCACAGCCCACAGCCATAGATTAGACTGTCATGAGATGTGTATATGGTCGGGGGGTGGGGGGGTCCATTCCAGTCCTATTAGTTCCTCAGTACAAGATCCATATGTTCCGGTGATGGACCATACAGTAAGAAAAGTGATGATGATGGTGAAGATGATGGTGATGATAATGATGATGATGATGATGATGTATGAGCACAATAACTGATACAATACTGGCAGATAATGAAAAAAAAAATACATTTAGACAAAGGGGCTAAAAAGAGGGATTTGTGATTTGTTGCTCTAACGATGAATGATGGATCATTATCACAGACAAATGTACTGGACTGGACTCAGCTGGACTCCTGTGGTGGTCCTAACCAGATCTGTAGACCCACAGTGGACAAATGTCTTTTTAGCTCTAAAAAAAAAAATCCACTTGAGCAGGTTTTGAATCTTGAAAAATGAAAACTGGAGCTGGGCTTTTAACCAGGTGATTTAGATGAAATAATTAGAGGGAAATTATAGGTTAAAAGTCCAACAAAAAGATGTTATTGAAGTGCTTAAAGTCTGTTGTTAATCTCCATGTTAGACTACCAACAGACCAGAGGACAGGGTTCACAGTCAATGAATGAACTTTAAATGTAGACTATGATTAGCTGTAATTGTACTGTGAGATTGTAGTAAACTGTAACTGTAGTAGATCTGCTTTTATAAATGTGTAGTTATTAATATATAGATTTTCAAAGTCTCTGAATATGATGAGTAATTAACTTGATTTATGAAGTATTACTATGGATGTGTGGATGAATGGATAGATGGAGGGATGGATGGATGGATGAATGGATGGACGTCTCTATTTTCTCAGTTTCCACTTTCACCTCCATGCCATCTCATTATTTCTGCCACAGAGTCAACTATTATCTGTGAACACAGTGTTATTAGGTCTAACTTCCAGGTCCAGCTGCTCCACCTTTGATGTTTTTGGCTCATTAGAAGTAATTTCGGTGGCAAAGGCTGGACCTCTGTGTAGTTGTATTTCAACCCTGTTGATCGAAGGCTAAAACACTTTTCATTACCTTAAATCCAGTCACGACATGTCGAGAAAACCCCAGTGTTGGGTTAGAACAGGCTTCAGTTTGAGTCAGAGACGATGACTCTGAGGTTGTTGGTTGTTTGTTGAGAATGTTGCTCTTAGTTTACAGAAATAGATTCTTTGTGCTGTTTTTTTGTTTTTGTAACTATCACAAATTGAGTGTAAAAAGTGCCAAAATCATTTTCTCTCCATCTCCTCTATTTCTTCACTTTCTCTTCTTCTGTGGTGTTTACATCCAGAAATCCTTTGACACCAGGTCACAACCTGCCTCTTTGTCTGGTCTTGTCCAGCTCCTTTAAATGTTCTTTCAGTTATTAAAATAGTTGACCATCATTAGACATTTTAGCAGGTTTCTGTTGAATATTTTTTTCATTCCTGAGACTTGAAAATAAACACAGTAACAGCTCAAAAAAAAAAAAAAAAACAATAATACTTGTCAAATTCAGGACTTCTCTGTGAGAACGTTTTGTATCTGGTATTCAAAGTTATTGATCTTCATGTCCAGGTTATCAGAACTTAAGTGGGACTGGAACTAAGGAGGAGTTTAAGTTCAGGACTTGAACATAACTAGTCTTAAGGTGTTTTGGGTTTAATTATTGCAGGGGTTGTACTCTGAGCACACTGAGTACACTGTACTCTGTCATTAAGGTAAAAAAAGATTTGAGACAATGTGAGACAGATATAGATAGACATTGATTATCACTGGACGTGTTGATAGAGAGACAGAAACCCAGCTGGGTTCACATCACGATCTGTCTGCTCAGTTATATCACCTCTGCCAGCTCAGCTGGAACGAAGGAGTGAAGACGAGAAGGAGAAGTTGACATCTGAACCTTTCCTCCTCTCAGATAGTAGGAGTATTCAAATGATGAACTTTACACCAGGACGCTGAACGATTGAGCTCCATTGTCTTAATCGTTAATTATATAAACTTTTATTCACACAAAGTCCAAACTTCTCTTCTGGTTTCCTTTTGATTCCTCGTCGTATCACCCATTATTACCCATGATTCCACTGAGTGACTAGTTTTTGATTGTCATGGTCCGGAGTCTTCTAGAACAAATTAACTAAAACTAAAAGAATATCCAGCAGGGGTCTGGCTTACATTGTTTGTGAGTTAAAACTATGATTTTTAAGACAAACATTGAACTAAACAATGTCTTTATTTCAATATAATAATAATAATAATGATAATAATAATAATAATAATAATAATCATTTCTGTCACTGTTGACACGGAGCTGGTGTGAGTGAAACAGGGAGACACTGGTACCTGTTGGTAGGGCTGGATCCATGGAGGGTTTCTCCCAGGAATTGACCTGCTCCCAGGTAAATCCATTGGTTCCCAGGGACACGCTGTAGCCACAGCTGCTGTACGACTCTTCAAATGTGCAGCCGCCTAAAAAGCAGAAGAAAACACATTTGTCATACTAGGGTTTAACTTTACATAAGAAAGTCGTACACTACGTCACACTATGTGATATTGTAAAGTGAACAGCATTGCACCAAAGAAGACATTGGTGTGAACCAGGTGTGAACCAGGTGAAAGACAGGATGTTGTCACAGGTTTTCACAAAAGAGCAGGAACACAAGAAGGTTCAGAGAAAGCTCATGGCCGTCCATGGAACAGAAGTTAGAGGCACAGGAGTGAGAAGCTCTATATGTCAACATGATTAAGTCACAGCCTCATCGTTATTTCATGGCCCGGGTAAGACGCATTTTCCACTGCATTAGTCTTCTCTTGTGTTAGCCTGCAGCGCTACACACACACACACATCTGCTACCACACATAAACACTTCTTCCTAATTAGACATATGCTTTGACACACAAGCCTTTTAATTTGTTTTGAAGCATTATAAATGGAGGCATGTCTCTTCTTTACTCATGAAATCAATTAAGTTAGCTGCTCCTGCCGCCAACATCTCCTGTTAGCACAAAGTCTGGTCTGATTTTGGAGACGTATCATCACATCACCGGTATATTTAGCTTGTGTCAGAGCAGCTTCTGCGAGGACTTCTGTTGACTCCATTCAGTAGATACAGGTCAACATTACACATCAGTAATAATGTTAAATAATAGTTAAGTATTGCTTGTGAGATTTGAAAGTGTATTTAAAGAGTGACAGTGAACCTGTCTTTCTGAGCCGTAGTGATGATCAATACCATGATGTTTGATTCAATATGAAACTGATTACTTTTTGGGCATTTTTATTCAATACTGATACTTTGTGTTATAAAATATGGGGCATATGCATTTTCTTCATTGATTAATTAGTATCGATACTCATGTGAGATTCGATACCACAGAATCGATACTTCCATCCCTAGAGGGCAGTGACGTAGTGGTTGATGATGATTCAGACAGCTGATTTCTGGACCCGTCCCATTTTATACATATTTGTGAGGAAGACCAATGAGGAAGTAGAACCATGACCTTTATGGGTTCAATTGAGTTTCATTATATTTGAGTGTAAGTTGAATTCATATAATAAAGAAACTGGGGCAATGTACAGATTCAACTGTGTTAACAACATGAGAAGAACCAGGCAGCATATTAATAAGGATCAGTCTGAGCGCAGGCTATGCTAATTAGCAACAGTCCAAGCAAGTCAGGTTATATGGAGGCAATGAGACATTTTTATTATGATTATTTTTATTATGATCATTATTTTAAAAAAAAAACACTGCAGGGAAGAGCTGTGCGTGTTATCTTTCAACCTTGAGTTAGAATGTATTGAAATGCACTGGTACCGATTCCTTCAGACACAGAAGTCACAGAAAAAGTGGATTTTATTATTGACCAATAATCAGATTTTATTTTTTAAAGTTCAATTATAAAGTGGAAACCGTCACATACTGTACGGACAGTAAACAACATATGTTGGCTAAAGAAATCATTCCCTTCTCTGATTCCACTCTTGGTTTGTGTGTGTGTTGGTACACACACTTGATTCGCTCTCCTCCTCCTCCTCCTCCTCCTCCCCCACCTTCCCCACCTCCATAGAGAAGCATTGGAAGCCTGCAGTCATAACAGGCTGGCCAACCATCGACTGCTGCCTCCTACACATTTAGCTCATATTGCAGCATCACAGTGCGTTAATCACTGGGCTTTGTAGCAGTTAGCAGAAGTGTGTCAACGCTATCTGTAAAAAACTAGGAAATGTAAGAGGAAGAACTTCTTCTCCTCCCGTAGTTGCTGTTCCTTTGGGGGAGAGTGGAGGGGGAAAGGGGAGGGGGGCAACCATCAGTTGTGGGTGGAAACAGAAGATATTACTTCTCTTACAGATATAAAAACAGCTGTTATAAATTAATCACTACTTGGGATAATTAGCCCTTTATTGGCCCCTCGTTGTTAAAGATCTCATTAGAAATGGAAAGAAATCAAAGTGATCTCATTAAAAATAGTAATAAACATGCGGGGGAGGGGGGAGAGTTTGGGGGAGGGTTGTAAGGGATCCAACATCAATATTCAATTCAAGATGTTCAATTTCAAAACCAGTGTCACGGGATAAGAGGAGGAAAAGGCTGCACAGCTGCAGGCCAGTGTATGTGTGCGTTTGTGTGTTTGTGTGTGTGTGTGTGCTCGCAATCCCCCCAATGTTTTTCAAATTAGTACGTTTCCCAGGGTCTTACTCAGGCAGACACACATTTAGTGCTTATACAGTGTGTGTTGCCATTTTTGTCCTATAACTTGAATTCATTGCGATTCATTTGAGTTAATAATTATATATATATATATATATATATATACACACACATTTATATATTTATACATGTACTGTATATATATATGTGTGTGTGTGTTTGAAAAGTCATCAATGTCTATCGAAATGGCAGCATTTATTGTCAGACAAATTGAAAGTACACAGAGTCATGAGAAAAGGCCTGAACAAAAACACAGTCACCAGCATCAAATATGCAAAACAGCAATTACTGTCGGCTCTGTTAATGGTCTGTTGGTGTCTGTACTAGCTCACTTCTTCATGACTTCAGTCAGCTTTTGAAAACTAAAGCTAAAATACTGACTGTTAGGGCTGCCTGTTGTCCCCTTCCTGCTGTGTGCTGTGTGGGGTTAATCAGTGTCATCACCGTCACCTGTGTCTCTGTGATTAGTCTCACTGGTATCACTTGGTGCCCTGGGTATGTGTACCTCTCTCCCTCACCCTGTCTTGGTGGGATCATTGTTTGTTCTGGTCGTTTGTGTACTGGTCAAGTCAGGTCCATGTGTTTGAAGAAGTCCATGTTTGTGGAGAAGACCGTGCCCTAAAGTGGATGCTTTTCTTCATGTGAGTTTTTGCTTTTTGTTATAAACCTGCTGCTTATATTTTTTCTCCAATTTTATGTTGTTGTCTTTTAACATGTCAGACTAATTATGAAGAAGATACTTGTGTTGATTAAACCTAAAAAAAAATTTAATACATGATTTCATACATAAAAAAACAACTTAGTAACTCACGTTTAAAAAGAAAAAGTTCCTTTATTAGAAAATACTTGACCTTCCTATCATTAATAGGTCCGTTCATAGGACCTGCCCTGTGATTACACTTTGATTTTGTTTCTTAGTCTTGAACAGGTGGTTCAGAATTAAAAAACTAGATGTCATGAGCTCACGTCCTAGTTCACTCATACATGCAGCCTAAGATGGTGTATCAGACCTTTTTCAGAGTACCTCCAAATACCTGAAGTGTTATGTAACTAATGTTGTGTCAGATGTACACTCACACGCCGCAGCAGAAATAAGTCTCCGTCCTAACGCGCACCCTCTTAAACAGAAATAAACACATCCTGCAACGATGACACACGTTTAACCACGATCTCATGTGTTGGTCGTGTTCTGGTTCACGCCGCCCTCCAGGCACCAATAGCAGCCATTACAGCCTTTCATCTCCGCCAAAGCTAACACAGGGCCATGGAACCCACAAAGTAAAAAAATCCAGGGGGAGCAACCCTGAGGCGGAGAGCTCTAAAGAGTCTGTTTACTGTTCACTTAGATAACATTTACTGATCTGCAGGAGGAGTGTGTGTGTGTGTGAGAGAGAGAGAGAGTGTGTGGGAGCAATCGAAAGACATGCTGCTGCGTGTTGAAGTACGAGTGGAGGAAGCAGGAGAAAGTACAATCGACACAGGGCTGTATTTAATTTTGGAGTAAATCGTTCGAACCTCGGACTTTAACACCGTATGTTGATGTTTGACCAAGAGAAACAGAATTATGTCTCTGATTCCACAAATTAGCTTTCAGTTAGTTTAATACACGTCACACAGCTGCAGTGGTGAACATCTTCACAAAAACCCAACCTGGACTTGTTAATGTATTGCTCCAAGACTCTCTGTATATCGTTTCTTTGTCGCGCAGTGGGAGGGTGGGTAGCGGTCTTTACTTACAGCAAGAAGAATAACAATTCAGTGGCTTCTTCTTTAGAATAGTCTTTCAGAACGGAGTGTGTATGTGTGTGTTCTTTAGGGTGCCCAGATTTTCTCCAGGTACACTCTTTTTTTCACACTCCAACAACTCCCAAATTTTAAATTTGGTTAATTGCCTGCTATAAATTGACCCTAGGTATGAAAGTGAGTGTGAATGTGAGTGTAGATAGTTGGTTCAGGGCCAAACCCCGCCCCTCTCTGATACCTCTGTAGAAGATGGACTAGGTACTGAATGATATCCATGTTGTGTGGGAATTAACGTCATGTAGTGAGTGAGTCTCTGTTAGCATGTCGGCTACAAGTCACAGTGACCTCATAAAAATGTAGTAAAGGTTTGAAAATCAATCAATGCGGCACAAACATGGACCATACGTAGGAAATAGGTATGAAGCGATAAATATTCCCAAGTTCGGGTCGTATAATGAAGCTGTGGAAAAAGAACTGGATTTTTTTTTGGAAGTAGTTTTGGAAGTATATAGTAATAGGCAGGTCAGGGGGAACAAGAAGCCAAAACTTGATCTTTGTAGGTACATGACTACATTTTTACACTTCAGTCTTGGCTCATGTTCCTTATAACATAATATCAGTTTCCATTCATTCATTTTCTACATCTTAATCCTTTATAGGGGGCGCTGGTGGGGTTACACTATGGACCTTCAACACCTTGGTAAAATTCTGAGAGTCTGGTTAACCTGATCCTGCAGTTCATTGGACAGTGAGAGAACTATGGACTAACTGGAAACAAGTTACACAGGGAGAACGTGCAAACTCCACACAGAAAGAGCAGTGATTGAAGCGACACACTGTTGGTCCTTTGCTGTATTTTCAGGACACTAACCACTCCTATGGATGAAATAACACCTTATGTAAGCATTTATTATTAAAACAGTGCGTTGTTTTTTTATTTATGCAGTTCTACTGTGTCAGGCGCTCAGTGTCAGTGTGGGTTTGACTTTGGATTATATTGGTGCTGAAAAA